GTGTTATAACACGCTGCTCACATGGGCTGTTTATTTCATCTGCGTTTGGCCGCTGAAAAAACTAGTTAAATGTCAAAATGAAGATATGTAAAAACTGGATTTTGACGTGTTTATACTGAGAAAACTGTGCAGCTGCGACAGCAAATGATGTTTCGTCTAAACAGGGTAACCTTTGTAAAGAAGAAACTGACTGACTGCAAAACAAAACTAATTATGTGGCCATTCAAAAGCTGGACGACACACTGCATTTTGTAATGTGAATAAAAGTTGTCTCCCGCCACTTGAGCACGCCGATGGGCCACTTAGTTTGTCTAAATCTTGTGTAACCACCAGCGGTTTCACTGAGAACCAGACTCACATCACCTGCACTGCTTCAACGGCTTAGAGGGTTTCGTACTTTCTGGCCCAAATTTGTTGAATTAAGTTATTCCGGGTTCCGTATTAAAAGGATGTGCAAAGGTCAATAAAGTCCGCGTTAGCCACCCACCATTCTATGGCAAAAATGCAGCGTAGCCTAAAACCAGTGCTTTTGGGCGAAAACGGTATCTACTGAGGAATTGAAAGTTTTGATATCATGTCATACACTAAGTCCAACGGAATGTTGGTCACGTATGGAAATTTACTCAGGAGCGATTTAAATAACTTCAGTCGGCGTAGGATGGAAGTCTTCACTTTAATGTAAACCAGACTACTGGACTTTTGATGTTTTTTATATTCTGTTGGAACTCTAGCTAGCTCAACTGAAGAGCTTAACTAGGCGAGGCCTGACGATCATCCGGAGATTCATGCTTGCAAAGTTCCGGCTGTAGCTGAAGAATAGAGCGTTCGCCACATTTTCAACCCCTAACCGAGTTAGAATTTCCTGGGTGATTCATGAGATGTATACTGCTGGTTACTCCTCATATGAGGTAGATGGTCATGCAGTCCTTCTCGGCTTTGAGGTTAGAATGACTTCACTGAACTGACGAAGTCCTGTCGAACATTTTAAAATTTCCGCGTACTACTGACTGGGGAAAGTGGTACGTTCCGCAAGTGGGCTCAGTCAGATAGATATTGTACAGTCCGCTACTATCTCTTCACATTAAAGTCACCCAAAGAAATACAATATATTCATCGCGACGCAACTTGGACGTCTACATATAGACGTTGTTGAGGTCGTGTACAAAAGATTGGCCCATTAGGCTGGTTTTTGATAGGTCGAAATATGGTGTAGTTTTCCTCTTAAACAAAGTTTTTATATTAGTTGAAAGATGCAAACGAAGTACACTAAAGTGATTTTCGATCTTGCAATTTTATGAAAACAATACTCTTTCAGAAACAGTAGCCATGAAGGTTGTTAAATTTTTAAATACATAGTGACAGCTTCCAGAGGTGTGCTTGTAGTCTGATCCTTCTATGTAGGGTTTCATTCATATTGTTTACTAATTACTGGTTTACGAGGAATACTTAAGACTGGAGTCATTGAGAAAAGACATCGGAGAAGCGGCAAAATTACCGTTGCTTTGTCAGCGATAGTTGTAAAGCCCTAATGGTAACGCGCAGTTAAATAGATTGGTATTGGCTTAGGCCTCTGTGCAAAAACTGGTTTACACTCCTCATATTCCGCAGGAGCATACTGAAGGCAATATTTCTCACAGAACAGGGATTCTGAGGCTCAGCAGTTTTGGTATTTGAATGTATGCGTGAAGACAAAAATCCATTGTGGTAAGGACTGAGCATGCGTTTGCGGCTGATCAATGATCTGTTGAGTAGCTTGCCGAGCTATACGACTGGTTTGTGGTCACCACTATTTTGACACATTCCAAACAACTAATATTTTTGTACGGCAAGAGCATCTCATCAACGAAAGATATTTGTCGACCGATGTTCCTCAGAAGGAATCACCTTTCACATCTTTCACAACTGCCTGTAAAGCGACTTGTCAGCAGCAGTTAAAACACCCAGAAACCTCGGTCATGATCGGACGTGGTAAAACGTGCAAACCACTTTTGATGGATAGATTGGTGGCCACTTGATGAACAGGTAATAAGTGTACCAGAGTCACCAACACTCTCACACAACATATACGGTTGTACCGCTTGCAACCTCAAGATATATGTGCCAAAGGTGTATTGGAAACTCATGGAAAATTGACCCATACACAGCTGGGCGACGCCAACCACAAAAACAAGAAACATCTCCCGTAGGTTTTTTCTTCGGTATACCAACTTTTTTAACTTAGTTGATCTTGGATATTTATAAATGAGCATTTCATGGAATCCAGTGTACTTAACTTGGATGGACAAAATCCTCCAAATAAAATGCTCCAAACATCTTGTGCTTTTGCTATAATTTCAACGGAGTAAACGGGGTTTTTGTGAGACCTTCGAGTTGAGATCAATTTAACGAAAACAAAGTTTCGGTGAACAAATTTTGGGATCAGTTTGACGCTATCGCGTAATACAGATTTTTTCAAAGATTTTTAAAACGTGACTTAAGAAATCAGTTGTAAAACGCTTGGGACCGACTGAGTAATCATCGTTTTAGAGGTGTTTGGTATAAAATCGGTGGACCGTACACCAAAACTCTCTGAAATGTCAATCATGGGAATCTTTGGAAAAGGTTACCCACGAAAACCAAACCGTAGGTTTACATCTAATTCCACTGTGCCCCGTTTTGACTTTCAACTTTCCATATTATACAGGACATGATGTTTAATATCTTTAGCAATGTCCGAGGCGTGTTTGTCCCGGAAATCCCAAAACTTTGGTTATGGTCCACATGGAACGATGTCTAGCTGTCAGATGGCTGTTAGGATTACTGACCAAATTATATTTCCCTCTCGCAAAAAACATTCCAGCCACACGTGTTGCGTTCCACTGACTGATTCTATGGACACTGCCAATCAACATCTAATTTAGTGCCTTCGTATACATCCCATTAGACGCTTCCCCATTCGTACATCTGCGTGTGAGTGTGCTGGTAGCCTAGAAGCAAATTGCTGCTAATGGTTGCTTAATCAGAAAAAGTACACATTTGCGGATGACTGCCGCTTGTGACCATAGTCACGAGTGCCTCTTCTAGCATAATGATCTCTTTTGATTGGCTCAAGCGTAGTTTTCGATTGACAAAAACAGAACGTACCGCTAAAACGCGCTTACTTCCTTGTTCTAATAGCTTACCTCGTGGAATTCATTCGCCCGGTAGACAATGATTGGAGTAACATGTGGGTTTTCTGGTGAACTTAGGTGGTTCAGATGCTCTGTTTTACTGATTTGTATGTTTCTACTTGACTTTTCCACAATTGTTCACGCGGATAAACTATGCAGACATGAAAGTTCTCGCAGGGAACTTGTTGAAATCCCGGAGTTGATAAGTAAACCATGTTGTTTACCAGAAACCTGGAAAGCCAGTTTTGTCATACATAGTGTTTTGGGCCGCAAACGCCTGAGCAGAGTGGATCATGGGGTGTTTCGAGTGCGGCGCAGTCCAAATGGTTCTGTGGAACAAGCCTTGCTGGTGATTGGAAAATCAGTCAGTTCGCCGGAATTCTGTCATTTGGGACTCTCCAACTCTTCGGAAATTTCCCAGTCTCTTTGCCCAAAGGACAAAGTCTATTGTTTAAACGCTCCATTTTTCGGTGAACCCCGATGTTTGACTGAAACAAACGGATACAAGCTTCGGTCATCTAAGAAGACCGTGGGTACTCGAGAAGTGAGACAATTGTGGTTCATTGACAAGATCAATCGTTTGCATGGGAATGTCCAAAGACAAATCTACCACGTTTCACGTAAATACGGACTTTGCAGACTACTGGAATACCATGTGCAGTGGGGCTATTATGCACTGCCCTGGCGCTCTTGTCGGTTGTTTGTACAAAAAGAGCAACGCTACACTCCGGTTCCAGGTACTTTTAAACTTAACTTTGAACACAACATTACAGATAATCTGTTATTCTGTTAAGAACATTATGCAGTTTTTAGAGGTGTTACAGTCAACTTGACTTGCAGCTCCAGCAATTGTGCAATAGCATGGGCTCCTTGTGACCACACCTTTCAGTGCACTAACCAAATTGTCAAAATTTCTCACTGAATGCGAAGGAAACACCTGCTTTTTTGCAAGTTCCTCTATGTAATGAGGATGTGAATAAATTTGGTGATAAGTAAATGCCTGAATAATGTGTGAACTTAATTAAGATGCTCTGAATAATGTTAAGAATTATGATGTTTTTCTCGTATCAGCCAGTTGGGGTTTCCGATCTTTTAAGCATCTACCAGTGCATAAGCAGGCTTGCTGACCAAGACAAACTTCAAATTACATGACTGCCCACTGATACTCGGTAGTGAAGGCATAGGCTACGATATCATCGTGCGGGTGCAAAGTTATCCATAATAACTCGTTTGTTTTTATTTTTAGACAAGATGTAGTGCTGATCAATATGAGAATGTACGCGATATTTCATTGCATTGAACTGAGCCCTTGACAAGACTTCGATTAACTCACCAGATGACATTCTTCTTAAAACACCGTCTCCGCATAAGAAATTTTGCACAACTTCCACGAAAAACATCCAAGAAATACACCTTTTTACGCCAGTTGAGACACTCAGAATGTTAGAAACTAGTATCCAAAAGATGGCGAAATCGCTGTGATCGGAAGAGTAATGACCGATTCAAACCATAGACGTTCATTTACAGCAGTCAGTCAGTCACTTATTTCTATCGGTCGGGGCATTTGGAGAGGTTAAAAACGGGCCTATTCTGTTGATTTTGAAGGCAAACAGACACCTGTAAACTATCTGATCGCAAACCAAATCTTCACTGGAAGCCTCTTTTAGACGATTAATATTTCCATATGCAAACAAGGTAAAGATATAAGCATACATGAGGGGACCCGCAAGTGGCGTTATCTATCCAGATTTAAAACTCACCGCAGTCAGCCATCGTTGTGTCTCTCCAGGAGCAAGCGCGAACGTGGAAACAAGCACGGAATCCCAGAAAATCTTCTAAGGTCATCAGTAAGGATTGCTTTCCGGCTGGAAAAGGTATGAAAAAGTTAATTTAATAACCATGTGAAGACTGTCTGATGTGGACGACAGAAGCAGGAGGGATAAGAACAGAACAAAAGAAGTTGCTGCATACCTCGTTGAAATTATAAGAGTTTTACTTATCGGATGGCTTTTTCTGACACAGGCAACAGGCAAAGACAGTTCAAAATCGTCTGTAAAGTTAAACTGAGCAAAACGCCTTCATACCTTCTGGTATGTTCTTGCAATTCTGCAGTCTATCCCGGAATTTTCCTACATTACGCATGATAAATAAAGTTGCGTTAAGTATTAAAGTCATCATTCAACTTTAGGTGGTCAAAGATTTTATTGTGATCACAAGTTCAGTCTGTTTCAGCATCGTTTTCTCGGAATTGTACAGTCCGAAGGAACTTGGGTGAATTGGGGTCCTTCAGTTTTGGCCTATTTAGGGTGTTGTAAATATACTGAATGATACCTACCTGAAGGAGTGTCTCAAAACCAAATAACACAACGACAAAACGTGACCCAACCGGTCCGGTATTTCTTTGTAGTAAAGGTATAAGTGCCCGCTAAAGCTGACCAAATAACACTCAATATTCTAGACTTCCGTCTTGTTATTATTATGCACTATTAATTACAAAATTACAACCGAAAATGTAGTCAGATGATTCTGTGTAAATAAATAAAATAAACAGTTGTGATATCGAAAACTGTCACGAAACTACAGTTTTTCATGTGCTTTTTGATAAGCAAAAGATTTTGCGGTTATCATTTTATCTATTTTTTGTCGGCTGTCTTATGAAACATTTGTGGTTGGCTTACATATAAAAGGTTTTAAAACGTGCGATTAGTGATCCACCTACAAAGGTCAGGGCAAGCATACACTATGAAAACTGTCGTGTGCGTAAAACTGAAGTGGTAAACCGGACTTGCTCGCTAAACTGACAGCTTGTTACTCAAGTTTCCTACTGTGCAGGATTATTTTAAATGCTTGGTTGGGACGAACAGCATGAGTGGTGATTTTCTGATTAACCAAACCAAATTTCTGGCACCGCCTCTGTTTTAGCCCTTGGAATTGTTTGCCATTCTGTGAAGCATGCTTGTAGGGAAATGTTTTAGATATCTTAGTCATCAGACAAAATTCAGGGGGAGGATTCGACTATTCTATTTAGGATCACGCAGCTTGCTCGGTCTTGTTCCTTTAAAATTGATTCGTGAATGTCTGTACTTTCCACTTGCAGACCTTAAGGGTTTTATTATCATGCTAAAAGAAGGTTTTGAACAATGACATTATTACACTGTGCACGATAAGACCAGCCTTATAGAACTTCTCTTAGTTAAGAAGAAGGATGAGTGGTGCCATCTTACCCTAGTGAGAGCTGAACATACGGCTGTTAAGCTGCTCGAAGCTGACTGGTTAACAGTTCAAACACTGGATGGAGGGTGACCGGTTCGAAACTCCCTGACTTTGTAGGGTGCGCACAGCTGATGATTGCTAACAGCTGTGCAATGATTCTTTGCTCTTTAGTGTAGACTGAATCCATTGATGGTACAAGAACACAAGTGAAAATGGGAGCTCTCTAAGGGAGTCTCTAAGCAACTCCACCATCCCAAAACCTGCCGACAAAATCAACTCCGTTCATTGTGTATGAAGAATAGAGTACCTGCTTGCGTAACGAAAAACTGACTTAAATTGGCAGGCTGTGGAGCAATATATATGTATAATATTATTTAGCTAAACAGGAGTTTTGCGGAAACATTTCGTTTTCTGTAGGCAACACACAGTTTCAGTATTGTTCATGACGCTAGATGTTCAGTAAAAAAGGCTTCCTTGTCCAAACGAAGATGCATACTCAAAGGCAAAAGTTGTTTTGTTGTGCATTAGAAGATATTATCACAACAACTAAGTTTGCCGGTCTCTTGACAGTACGTTTCTCTTGTCTGAATATAAAGATTTCATAAAAACGTCGAATAGCATTAAAAATTATTTTTTCAAAGTAGTGGATCTTCAGCAATTTTACAACGGTCGGAGGCATCCTGTTTACAAAATGGACCGTCGATGCGGTAATTGGAACACATGGTGACAGACGCATTTTTAACCAATTACCGAAGAGGTACTCAATGGTCTGGGAGGCCATAGAACATGGAAAATGTGATACAAAACAGTATTTTTCAATGAACTTATTTGCGTCAGTAACTTAATGCGACTAATTTATCAGAGGACGTTCCTGCTTTTGGGGAATCAGATTTACGGGACACCAGCGTGTGAGTGGTGCCAGTCGAAGGCGGAGTTACTACTGGTAATCTGAAATAAGCAGGATCCACTTCCAGAAACAAATACACATTTACTGAAACATTTTCACTTGTCTGTCTAGCAGAACTGAATTGGTGTTGGGCAGCTGTAGTCGGTGTGTTCAAATGACATGGCAAGAAAAGCTTTGGTATTATCTGAAGATTGGAGTAACTGACATATGGTGTCCGAACACTGTTGTTGGTTGCAGACCTTTATGTCTTTAAAAACCGCCTTCCTCGTGAGTATCTTCGGGTGTTATTTTTTCGGCTTACATTGGATTCTGACACTCATCTGCAGCAGCGCAGCTAGCTTCAAAGCTAGCTTATTGTCATAATCTGTGTGCGCACGGTATGAGTGGCATAACTGCCATTGACAGAATTTGTTGCACTACTAGGAACAAAATGTCTGTGTGCATTCAGAACTTTGGGTTGTTTCTATTACGTCCTTTATGTCTTTAAAAACCGCCTTCCTCGTGAGTATCTTCGGGTGTTATTTTTTCGGCTTACATTGGATTCTGACACTCATCTGCAGCAGCGCAGCTAGCTTCAAAGCTAGCTTATTGTCATAATCTGTGTGCGCACAGTATGAGTGGCATAACTGCCATTGACAGAATTTGTTGCACTACTAGGAACAAAATGTCTGTGTGCATTCAGGACTTTGGGTTGTTTCTATTACGTGCACACATACGGTGGGATAAACTACTGTTCACGTACAAATTCTCATTGGGTACACACAGACCGACTAGAAAACATAAAATGCCGCAAAATCATTTTCCGCTCTGATGACCATGATGGTGCCTTAGGAAATTAATTTAACTCCGTGGCATTTCTTATCATCAGTATTACTGACATCATCATCAGAAGGGAACACTGATGCTTGGCTAAATGTGGCCTAAATTCTGAGGTTTTCACCGAAAGCAAACAGGTTGGAGAGTAAATAAACCTTACACAGTCCGCACTTCACCATTCCAATGTTAACTGCGAACTGCCAAATTCCATTTGCCTCTTGAGTTGATTGGCGTGAGAGACAAAATAAACAGTGGTGGAAATGGAATTTCACACGATGAGCAGAATCGTCATCAATCTGTATCTGAACACAAAAAAGTGATAGTGTGCATTGAAAGTAATTTCACCAAGTGAAACGTTGTTTGTGATCGATGCAACTGGTTCAAGACAGCATTTTATTTTAATTTCGTAGGGTTAGAAACCGGAAAGAACTGCACTCATAATACGAAACATAATTTCGTAGGGTTAGAAACCGGAAAGAACTGCACTCATATCTCATACGAAACAAAATCTTCAACAAAGTTTCCGAAATGCTCCACGACTGTATACACTATCATATGAGAGTGAAACTCAAGTTTTTATCCTCTGAGTCACTCGTAGGTTCCCAACTTCAACAACATATGCGTAATTCACGCAAGGCAGTTTAGTTCCTTAGCAGCTAAGAGATAATAAGGGCTTACAAACTGGTTGAAAGGGAACACCACTTGTCACTTGGGCCTCTAAAATATACACCCTTCGAATCTGAAGGCGGTTTTCCAAAGTCCAACCTTGACGAAAAGTTAGCATATATAAACAGGTAAATA